CAGTTGAGATATTTGCATGTGAAATAACAGGAAGTGATGTCAAAGGGGAATGTCTGCATGTGAATATTTACAACTTTTTACCAATTATTTTAATATTTCAGATGAATTACAATCATCCTATTTCCAGTGTGTTAACATTTTGAAGACTTATGAAAGATTGATTTAAGACATTTTAAGGCTAATTAAGGCCTCATTTTTGGATTGATGAATTAAATGCCTTTTAAGACTTTTTAAGGATCTGCACCCTGTGCAATGAACCCCTTTTTTTAAAAAAAAAATCTGATCTACTTTAAAATAAACTATTTTTGAGCTAAGGGTGTTTTTAATTAAGGGTGCTTAATAGCAGCTTTCAGTTTACTCACAGTGAAGGTGCTTTTGGTGCATTCACTCGTGCTCTGAGGCAGTCCTCCACCACTGAGGCTGGCTGGGACCCCACCTCCCACCCCAGGGCTCCGGTGACGGTGGGACCCCACCATGGTCTCCATAGAATGGCTCCTGACCCGCATGGCTCTCTRGAGGAGACGATCACGGGTAGAGAGGAAGGAAAGAACACAGAAATAGGAAGCATGAAACAGGTCAAAGTGCTACTAAAAATGTTATAAATCCTATATGTTATTACAGCGCAGCATCCAGCAGAGGGCGCAGTTCTCTAAGGAAGGAGCAGAACATGAAGGGGATGCGTCATATTTCTTATTTATCTACTTAACCTCCCTGATGCTTATACTTTAAAAACGTTCATTTTCTTGATTTGTTTAATCATTCCAATATTCTGCTTTAGTGCTAATAAAACTAAAAGCAGATACTTTTATGTTTAGTTACACAAAATAAATCAGATTCTTAGAAAGCATGAAGACCAACAACGGCTCACAAAATAATCTTTTATTATCTTCTCTTTTCATTTACAGTAAGACAGATAGATGATATACAGCGAGTGCAATGAGAGCAACGAGAACAGCGCCCCCCGGGACTGTCTGCAGGAAGTGCAAAGAAGCTGTCCGAAATACCTGCAAAGAGCAAGAGAGTCAAATTATCACAATGTTCACACTTTTGATCATGTCTCACAGGCATACACACAACAGGAAATACACACCCTGGAGGGTTTGTTAATGTTAGCTAAATTATAGGTGTTAAAATGAGAAAATGGAAGCACAATAAGAGACGAGAGACTGAAAAACAAGGGGATAAAAAATGAAAYGCAGGGAGTTATTCATGTCCTTCCACAGCCTGAATTTAAGGTCTAAATGGGAGCAAAACAGCTGCACTGATAACACTGTTTTTGTGGTTTTTGTGCTCTTGGAAGTCATCCTGCAGACCTGTGACATTTAGCCGACCCACTGCTGTAATGACGGTGATCAAATAAATGTCAGGARAGGCGAGGAAAAGATTGCCCGGTGTACTTTTTTTTTTGTCCGAGTTCATGTTCACCTTGAACGATTCCAGCAGTCCCCCGTGTCCCCCGTTCTCCAGCTTGTCCTCGTCCCCCAACGACCCRAGGCCCAGCACGGCCTGGCTCTGCCGGTGCAGTTCGTCGTGGAGGTTGTCCAGCAGTGCGGCTCGTGTGCGTCCCTGCAAAAAATAAATAAATTAAAAAAATTATAATAATGGAGTTGCTCACGCAAGAGCTGTTTTTAGTAACAAATGCATCGACAAAGAGGGATTTTTGGATGAAACTGAAAAAAATAAATAAATAAAAAGTAGATGTGGTGTTTGAGCACGGCGTGCGTCACCTCCAGTTTGGCAAATTTGTCAGATTTGTAGCAGGCGTTTTCAGCGTTGATCAGCTTAGTCAGCAGGAATTCTCGAAACTCGGGACCCTGAGGACAGCGACGCAGAAAAGGAGGCGAGTCAGACGATGAGCATAGAGACAAGTGGAGGAGGCAGAAATGAGGGCTGACCTTTACCAGAACAATATTGATTACCGCTGTCGCATCAAAGTACGTTTCCTAACCTSCCAGTAGACCTTACCCACAGATGTATGGTTTTTATGTGCAACAGTGCCTTCAGTTGATCATGTAAATTCAAAGTTGCTTGTTTCATGAGTTCATTAGAAACAGGATCCAACATCATCCTTCAGAATTTACTTTTATTTATGCAATAATGTTCATTCACTTCAATGCTTCACTGGTTTGTTTCAAGACAGTCCTTAGGTACTCAGCATGTTGACTTTGGTCATAAGTTTTTATTTTTATTTTTTAATTCATGCTAAGATTTAAAATTTTCCCTTAATTTTAACCAAGTGAGTCTGTCTTTGTGAGTGGTCGCTAAACTCAAACAGCTCAACAGTGGTGGAGGCTGTAAAGGCAGCCCCGGCTGCAGCCCGGTCTCTTGTTTCACATCATGAACTTTCTACAGCACAGTCCTCTTGGACTTTTCCCTCTTTTCTCCT